TAGCTTCTTGTTGATTTCCTTATGCTAGTGCCTAGTTTATTGTGATTGCATATTGCGTGCCATATCCCCCAATCCCCTGAGGACGATATTTCACACCCGAGTTCACATCTTATTTTTGCTACTACATCAATGAGAAGAGATGGCGGTGCCTTCGCTGCTTCTTCACCGGTTGTGGCGTTAGTTTTATGGTGGCGCTGGTGCAAAGAAGGATTAGGTTCAGAAAATTGGGAGTGAAAGCTATATGTAAAATGAATTTGGGGGTAACAATGGCGAAAAGCAAGCTCAGAAGAGAGACTGAGGGTGCAAAGACAAGATTGAGATTTTCTATTAGGGTGGTTGCCCCATCTCTGTTAGCCATTGATTTCGTCGTTTTCTAAAAGAATAAGCAAAGGCCCTCTTTCTCTTTGAGAAATAATATATATTACTCTGTATATATACAAACACGCAAACACACCCTTTGATTTATGAAAGCTCTTTACTGCTCTGCCGGCAGTGGCTATAGTTATAGATCGGAACGGGAGAGCGCGGTGATGATATTTCCTTTCTTCTGAGCTAATGGATTGGGCATCGGAATTACCCGACCCGGATCGTGGAGGCTAAAAAACTAACGAGAGTGAAAAAAATTGGGAGTAAATGAGTGTAACCAAGCTTATTGTGAAATTACCAAATCGTCCATAGTTTTAACACTAGTTAGTGACAAATTTGACCGCAGGACTACATTGGCTACAATTAAAACATTTGAGGGACCAATTTAGCAAAATTGACAATAAAGGACTACATTGCATATCTGAGAACAATTGAGGGACCAAAAGTGCGATTTTCCCTTCAATTAATAAGCTCATATCCAAATAAATTGTACAACATAATAACAATTTAAAATGAGCTATAATATTATTATTCAAATAACAACATAAATCCAAAACTTAAAGGATTATAAAATTTGAATAATAATTTATAATAACCATATACTTTTCAATTATTGGAAAGTTTTAACTTGTATGCTCAATACAAAAAAGATTCAATGCATATAGTAAGCTTTATGAGGAATAGTTTAAAATTGTAAATTCTAACCATATCAAAACTATATGATATGTTAACATTTACAAATTAAATTCTCACAAAATAAATTGCATAATTTAAACCATAATATTATGCAATTATATGCATAAAACAAACTCAAAAAAAATATGAATATAAAATAAAATATTCATACTCAATTAAAGTGGGCATCACAATCCAAAAACAATAATGATAACAATGTTACGACATATTGATTCCTCAGTTCAAAACTGATAATCGTTATTACTGTAATTATTACATAACGGTAATAATGGAATAATCAATTTTCTTAATCGTAACTGAACAACATTTAATAATAATAATTATTATTATTATTATTAAATGTCACTATTATCATTATTACCATAAAAGTTTTGGATAAGCAAATTCATTAAAAATCTCAAAATATAATTCTTAACATTATTATCGAAATCATTATGGCAAGACTGAAAAGGAAAACAATATCCAATTGTCATAAACATATGCATTTTCCAAAATTGTGATTCAAAATCACACTCAATAATTAAAAATATTATTATTGAATTATGACAAAGTTTGCAAAATTCTGAAATTGCAATGAATCAACATAATAATCACATAATATTATAAAAATTAGGAGATTTAATATGGAAAAACAATTGCTAACACCACAAACCTTTAAAACATTTTTTGGAAAAATTTTAAAACTTAATAAAATTAAAATCCGAAAAACATTAATGTTGAAAAATATAATATCCAACATTTTCAACTTTAATAAACTGATATAAAGGCATAAAAAGCTGCTTTTTGACGAAAACTTTATGACCTTACTAATTACCATAATAATGACTGTAAATGCAAACGATTGCAACAATCGTCAAACATCTCGATATATCATCCAATTATGGAAATTAATCACAAAATATAGCAATTTAGCTTTTACCAAAGATAATATACCAAAACATACCAATAGGCATTAACCAAATTTCAGCATATATTATCATGACAATCTGAAATGAAAAAGAATTTTCAAAATAATAAATCATGCTTAAATTGATCCACAATTGCTCAATTACCATTAATAACAATAAAACAAAGCACCCTTATTTTCCAATTACTCATTTTATTACCATTATATTATATTATATATATATTTTAATAACAAAACAAATAATTAAGACTTTTCCAAAACTTGCCAATTTTAAAAATAAAAGGCAAGGAAATTATTACCGTGATTGCTAAATAATAATGGTGAGAAGGAGCGTACCAATTCTCTGATGAACAATGGAAAACGTCCTTGAGATCATTAATGGAGGATTAATTACGCAGCCTCCGTCTAGCCTTCCTCCAGAGCTTGTCAACCCGTTTACTGCCCGGAGTGCCCACCGGAATCACCGGCAAAAGACTAGTAGCTAGCCAGACATTATGCAGACGCCGGTGGACAGCCACTCCAATAAAGACATACCGGTGACCCTTATACCGATACCCATGGAGCACTCGAATCATCTTTTACAGCGCATATTGCAACGTCTTATGGATCTCCGAAGGCCTTGGTGGACAGAAATTGACATCCGGCAAGTCAACCACACAAAAACAATGACATTTGATAAAAAAACCAATAGGTATTTTCTTTTATTCAAACATCGAATGCATATATTCAGTTTCATAGAAAAAATATACATTGTTGATAACAAAGTACATATACGCATATATACTTATGTACTGTAAAAAAATATCATAGCAACAGATATTCATGCTACAAACATATTCTTGTGGAAAAAGCAAGTAAAATATATATATATATATATATATATATATATATATATATATATATATTATTTTTTTTTTTTTTTTTTTTGAAGACAAAAGCAAGATATCATTAATTTAGATCCAAGCTCAAAACATGAGCAATGGAGGGAAAGGGGACTAGAAAACAGTCCATACAGTCAGGCATCGACAAGGCGTCCCTAGCCAAACAATGGGCAACCCTGTTCGCAGACCGTTTAGCAAAAATAAAGCTTAAGTTAACAAAACTAGAAGCTATTTTTCTAATATCGTCCAAAACTAGATCAAAAGATGAAACAAAGTCATGCATGTTCAAGATCCCATTTACTGCTTGTAGGCAATCACTTTCCACCTGCAAATTGTCAAAGCTCAAACTCTTGATCCATTTTAGTGCTTCACGTATGCCAATTGCTTCCGCTACAGCCGGTTTATACACACTGTGCCAAGGTAATCTCCTGGCAGCAACAAGGGAACCTGCTGAATCTCGAATAACGAAACCAAAGCCCATCCGATTGTTATGTTGATCAACAGCTGCATCAACATTAAGCTTAAGCATACCAGTTGGGGGCCTGGACCAGGTGATAGGATAATCAGGAGCCCTGTCATTTGTGTTAGCAGTAACATTAACAGAAGTCCATTAAAATAAATAATTCTTTGCATAATGGCACACAAAAGAAGCCGGTAAAACAATTTGGTTCCAGATTTTCCAACAGATAGAAATTAAAACAGTGATTTCATTGGCTGTTTTTGAGGTGAAAATATACTCCAGCCATTAAAAGAAAGTGGTACTTGATTGGTAATCAACGTTACCAAGAATATCCCAACATTCCCGGGCAAAGGGGCATCTCACAAATAAATGCAAAGGGGTTTCTTCTTCCCTAAGGCAAATCTGACAAACATTAGGAACCTGGACATGCCTTGATTTTAATCTATCGTGAGTTGGCAGGGAGTTAGAACACAGCTGCCAAAAGAAAGATTTAATTCTTGGAGGCATTTTAAGTTTCCAGAAATCTGTCCAGAACACTTGTTGAGAAGGAGGAGTGTTTCTCATAAGGTATTTATAGCAGCTTTTCACAGTATAATTCCCTTTTTCATCTTCAGTCCAAATAATTTTATCTTTCGTTGTATGGTTCGGGATAGGGATATTCTTGATCATAATTCTATCTTCATGGGCAAAGAGTGAATCTATGAGGTTATTGTTCCAAGTAGGGACAGGCAGGTTAGGATCAAAAAGGGAGGAGACTTTCATGTCGTAAGAAGTTGAGTGGTTAGCAGTCTGGACATAAGGGCAGAGTTCCTTAGGCAGCCAAGAATCAGACCAGATGTTAATTGAATTCCCATCTCCAACTCTCCACCTACAATTCTGTTTAAGAATGGGTTGTGTTTCAAGGATGCTACGCCATATAAAGGAGGGGTTACTACCCAAGCGAGCCTCAAAAAAAGTCATGTTTGCATAATATTTTGCCTTGTATGTTCGGGCCAGCAGAGAATTTGGGTGGTTGATAAGCCGCCAGGCTTCCAGGCTTGTTTGCCGAGCATAGCAATATTAAATTCCCTGATTTTCCTGAAGCCCATGCCTCCACTACATTTTGGAGCACAAAGTCTATCCCAGCTCTTCCATCTAATGCCCCCAGATCTTTCACCTTCACAACCCCACCAGAAACTGTTCATTATTCTTTCAATATCTTTTCCAAGTTCAACAGGTAGGAGAAAGACGCTCATTGCGAATGTAGGAATGGCTTGAATGACATTTTAAAGAAGAATTTCCCTCCCAGCTCTAGAAAGGAACCTGTGAGTCCAGCTTTTGATTCTTCCCACTACTTTTGTTGGAGGATAAAAATGTAATATCCTTCCCTTCCATTTTATTTCTATTTTTTCCCTTATTCCCTTACATAAAAGCAGTGTATCTTCCCATCTTTTATCATCAATAATATCACCTTTCTTCTTCATCTTCTGCACCTCTCGTTTCTCTCCGCTTCTTCGATGTAGTCCATATTCCAACATGGTATCAGAGCGGCGAGGCAGCCACGCCACCGCCGTTATCTACGCCGGAAAATTGAGTCAAAGAACGGCTCCTCCAATAATGTCGATTGTTCAATTCCCTTTTCGCGCATCGCCGAACAATCCGCAGAGGATTAGTGCTACGCAGAGTAGAAACAACGACGCTAGATCAACAGTCCGATCAGCATCAACAATGATTCCGCAGAGGAATCCAGAAGATACGGCGATCTCCACAGCCGTTCCGCAGCGGAATGGAGGAGCTCGTTCGTCGATTCCGATCAATCCGCAGAGGATTCCGAGTTTGGAGCAATCAGCCGCAGCGGTTGTATATCTCCATCTGAAATACGTTCAGAGAGCCATGGCTTTGAAGTGCGTGGACTCAATTGAGCGAGAGTTTCTGGATCAAACACATTCTCTGCCAGGCGCGAATCTGAATCGGAGAACTGTCTTGCTACGATTCTCATCTGAGAACGATTGCAGAAGGGCTTGGTTGCGAAATCAAATGCTAATTGCGGATAACCGGATGTGGATGTCGCGATGGATGCCGGAGCAGATCGTCTACCCCAATCGTGATTCTCCCCTGACTCTGGTATGGCTTCAATTGCCTCTGCTACCCATTCATTTGTTCAATTTTGATATGTTATCTCGCATATGTGAACCAATTGGAAGATTGGTAGAGCTTGGTTCGGCCACAGTCAGACGAACTAGACCAAATATGGCAAGGGTGAAGATTGAAATCGATGTGTCTAAATCTGTTTTTGATTGCATTTGGATTGAATTTGGTGAAGGAGGAGGTTTGGATGGGTTTTGGCAGAAAGTTGAGGTGGAAAGACTACCGAATTTTTGTATTGTATGTGGCCGGTTCGGTCACCTGGTGGGGAATTGCAAGCAACTGAGGTGAGGTTAAGAAGAAGAGAAGAAAGGGGCACATCACCTACTTGTAAAAATGTCCCAATGACTCCTGAAGTTATAAGAAAGGAAGATGGCCAAACATTTGAGGAGAATCAGGGGCCTGATGTGGATGATTCAGGCCAAGGTACAGAAAAAGTAGAAGCTGATATAAGCTTTAAGGACAATGAGAGGAAGAGCCCTAATCAGAGGGGTCTTGTCACAAAAACTGTCAAACTGGCTTGAAGCAAAATGAGCCTTGTGAAGCATAAATATATGCAGTGAGTAGTTCTAAAAGGAAGCTGGATCAGGCTGCTGAGTCTCCTGAGTTGAGGCCTAATCTGGAAGCAAAATTGGCATCATTAGCAAGTGAAGAATTTACCAGCATCAACATTCTCATATTATTGCTTCTATTAGCATTTTCTATTCTCTCTTTAGTACATGATTGCTGAAAGCCTATTCTTGGGGGTTTTCTCACAGATTGTTTAGATGAGGATGAGAATATTGTTTCTTCTATTTTTTTTTTCCCTTTTGTATCTAAGCTGGGCATGTAGGATCTACACACTCCAGCTTACAGGGGGGTGTTGGAGGATAAAAATGTAATATCCTTCCCTTCCATTTTATTTCTATTTTTTTCCCTTATTCCCTTACATAAAAGCAGTGTATCTTCACATCTTTTATCATCAATAATATCACCTTTCTTCTTCATCTTTCATATTCCAACAACTTTGTCCTTGATATATCCCAGAATCTCACGTTTATTTCTCCCAATAACAGATGGTAGCCCAAGGTAGTTCCCATTAAGATTTCCTTCTCTCATTCCCATGATTTGTGAGAAATCCTCTCTTGAAGTAGCATTGGTCTTCTTGCTAAAGGTTAGGGTAGATTTATTGTGGTTCACAGTTTGACCAGAGGCAGACGCAAATGAGTCAATGGTATTTTTCAGGATAGTGGCTTCATAGGGGGTAGCTTTACAGAAGATATAACAGTCGTCGGCAAAAAACAGGTTAGTGATTGTAGGGGCACCTCTGGCAATGGTAATGCCATGAAGAGAACCCTCTCTTTGCAGCTTATGGAGCATTAAGTGAAAGACCTCAAGGACAAGGATAAACAGATAAGGTGACATGGGGTCTCCTTGTCTAAGACCTCTACCCGGTAGGACAGAACTAATAGGCTTACCTTCAAGAAGAATTGTGTAACTGACTGTAGATATCATTTCCCGAATTAAAGAGACAATGTGATTGGAAAAGCCCAATTTTGAGATGACCCACAATAAAAAGTCCAATTGACACGATCAAAAGCCTTGCTCATATCCAATTTGACACCAACAAAACCCACTTTCCCCTGGCTTTTCCTTTTAAGATAATGGTTAATCTCATAAGCAATCATAATATTGTCAGATATTAATCTTCCCGGGACAAAGGCCGATTGGGACTCGGATACAACAGTGGGGAGCAAAGGTTTGATACGATTTGCTAAGATTTTGGAAAGGAGCTTATAGAGAGTATTACAAAGGGCAATAGGTCTAAGATCCCCCATAGTCTCGGGCCTATTATTTTTGGGAATGAGAACAATGTGTGTTGAATTTATATTGTCAGGCAGCTTGCCAGTGCGAAAAAAATCTGAGCAGAAGGAGTGTAGATCGCTGCCTAGAATATCCCAGAAATATTGGTAAAAGCCAAGATTTAGACCATCAGGTCCCGGGGATTTTCCAGAGTGCATATCAAACAAGGCATCGTTAACTTCCTTAATGGAAACACTACTACTCATGGAAGCATTTTGCAAGTCAGTGATTATAGGGTTGATGCAATTAATCACAGAGTCAATATCACCCGAGGCAGGAGAGAATAAATCTTGGAAATAATTAGTAATAAGAGCATCCAGTTGTGTACCTCGATCAACCCATGTGCCGTTATTGTCCTTGAGCCTTGCAATGCGGTTGGTTTGCCGCCTACGCGTAACAGCCTTATGGAAGAAACTAGAGTTTGTGTCACCATCCTTGAGCCAGAATTGTTTAGCCCTTTGCCTCCAATAGTCGCTTTGCTGTTGTAAAACACAAAGGAATTCAGATTGAGCTTCCATAAATAAAATAATACCATGAGGGTCCCGTCTGTACTTGGTGTTATCCATGCGCCGGCGCCAATAGTCAAGTCTCTTTTGAAAGTTACGGGCAAAGTGTTTACCCCAAGTCCATATTGCTTTACCGCAGCACCCCATTCTATCAATCAGATTCATCCCATGGGTTCCTCCTCTTTTTTCATCCAAGTAAAATATATATTGCATAATATATAATAATTCAAAAGTATATATCATATGCAACTCTATCAACTAGACAGAGATTAAAGGCTCTAATACCAAATGTTAGAAATATACAAAACAATACATGTAATCTAACCTTATAGCGGAAACATATGATCAAGCATCTCCAGCCATAGTTGTAATCTCTGTTGCATTGTTTGAAGAACAGTAAAGAACTTTAGAATTTTGTCTACCACTTAGTCGATCTCCTGTACAACTAGATGGTGTAGTGTCTCCAATCACAGGAGCAGTGGGAGGACCATACATATATATAACCTACGTGCCATCTTCCGTTTCAAACTACAACATTATGGCCATAAATGGCCTATTAACTTGCACCACTTAATGGTGACATAATGGAAATGTTACAGATAAGTGATGAATATTACACATGCGATGCGGCATACCTTACCGGGGGTTAACAAATTTCCGAGTTCCATATAATCTTTATTTTTGTTTTGCGTGCTTTCAAAAGAGTTAATTATTGAAATGGTCACTTGACTATAGCGAAATTATCAATTTAATTCTTAACTATTTTTTTGGCCAATTAAGTCCCTCAACTTTAAATTTTTTAACCAATTTGACCCTTCGTTTGTTTGACGGTTAGTCAACCATTAATTTGAGACCAAATTGATAATTTTGATATAGTCAAGGGACCATTTCGTCGACTATTTGGACCAAGATTTTGAAAGATGAATCAAATCACCTTTTGTGACAATCCAATATCAATTTTGGGTCTTTCAACATTTTTTTGTTAGATAAATTGAGGCTAGGCCCATCATTTCCAATGCAAAGCTAATACCGTGCACGAGGACGCACAATTGTGCACCCTAAAAGTTTTGTGTATTATGTTAAGAGTTTATGTGTATTCTATATGTAAAGAGTTTGTGTGTATATTAAAAATTTATATGTATTATGTAAGATTATGTGTATTATGTTAGAAGTTTATATGTATTTTACTATACAATTATGTACATAGGAAACACGAGATTTTTAGGACACACAATATAACAATTGATTAAAGACTTATAACTTCAAATCCAAATTTAATATTCTTAAGTCTACCTATAAATATCTAACCGTTAGACTTGCAAAGTTCTTGAAGCCCACCACAAGGCCCAAAGTCCAATGTCAAATTATGGCCACACAATGTTATGTGGACCATAATAAAAAATATATTTTTAATATATTAAATGTATATTATTTTTGTACTGTATGTACATTATATAATATAATGTACACTCAGTATAAAAATAATGTACATTATTTTATAGTAATAATGATTGAAATCCAATGATTAATTTTTTTAAATCATGCTCTTGAAATGACTTGGGAAATTAATTAATTAATTTTTTTAAATCATGCTCTTGAAATGACTTGGGAAATTAATTAATTAATTAATTAAGCTCTTGTTGAGAATCGAACTCAAGACCTCCCGCTTACTAAACGAGTGCTCTAACCAACTGAGCTACAAGAGCTACTTAATTATATTCCTTCATGAAAGGTAAATCATAAAAATAATATTGTAAGTATATAAAAATAATATTGCAGGTATATGAAAATGACACAAACAATAATAAATCTATATACTTACATTAAGGAATTCATGTACGTACAATACTACAATTGTCAATTTATATACATACAATTGTGAATTTATATGAACCAAATTTAGATACCTAAAGCAATGAATTTATGCATATGTTGATTTATTCTTTAAAAAGTTTTAAAAAATTTTTTGAAAGTAAACTGCTGTATATATTAATCAATCAAAGCCGAAATAAAGGAGGGAAGAATATCCTCCCATAACATCGAGTTTGCCTGCACCGAGGCTGACTGAGCTAACGAATGTGCTAAAATGTTTAACGATCGAGGAATATAAATAATAAAGCAGGAAACTAAAAGAGACATCAACTCCCGACATGCTGAAACAGCTAAACCATCATAAGTGCAATCCTCCGTCGCTGAATTGCCAAGTGCGTGACATAAATTCGAACAATCTGACCGTAACTGCACCTCCGTGACTCCACGATCTCTAAGCCAGGACAGTGCCTCCTTACATGCATATGCCTCCGCCATAAACGGTCCCTGACAAAGTGGCAAGGGGCCATTTTTGGCTGCCACAAAATTTCCATTCGCATCCTGGAGTAAGATATCGTACGCCCCCCGCTGTGTTGTGGCCGAAAAGGCTGCGTCAAAGAAACAACGGAGCCGCGATCCGGACTGTGCAGCGCCGGCAGCGGACTGCATAGCGTCGGCAATGGACTGCCGTGACACGGGCTGCCCGGCGTTGGCAGTAGCAGCGCTGGGTTGCCGCTGATTCTCGCTTTGGTTCGTGGCCGAATTCCAGGCCGCCATCGTAGCCATTGCCCGTTCATATACAAGCCGTGGTCTACCCACCTTATGCTCCCATACCGCCGTATTCCGTTGCATCCAAATATTGTACATAATAGCCACCATGTAAGTAAACTGTTTCGCATCAATATAGGTATTATCTAAAAGATTTTAATTAAAATTTTTTAATTATATATTTTTATAAATTAATTTTATGTGTACTAAAAAAAGTTAAAGAGATACAATTTTTGACCGGCCCACCTTGCTCCATGATATAAATATTGCAATGTCTTAGGCTATCCCATGCTTCCCTAAAATTTACCCTAATGATAGATGCATAAACATGAATTCTGTGCATTATGAATATGAGTTATGTTATAAACATAATGGGTATAAAATTTAATAATGATTATTAGAATAAAAAGATGTAAATAAATAATTTTTAACTTATAATTTATTATAATAAAAACATGCAAACTCATAAATTGATAACCATAAAAAATTTGAATTAAAAAAAATAATAAATTTTTTTCTTATTTTGGAATGTGGGTTAGGGTGGCCAAGAGTCGTATTGTTTGGTTCAGCATGACTTGATTTAACTCATATTTAATTAAGTATTGATAAATGTAATAATTTTAAACTAAAAAAGTGAAGATTTTCTAAAAAAAATATATTATTTTTGGTTGTGGGTCAGACCAAGATTTTAATTGTTTAGTATGGTCCAATCCAACATATATTTTCTAAACTAAAAAATTTAAAGGGAAAATCACAATATGGTCGCTCGATTGTTTTTTAATTGTCATGTAGACTACAGTTTTTAATTTCAACTAATTTGATCATCGAATTGTTTAATATTATTAAACTTTAGTTATTAAACAATTCAAGGATCAAGTTAGTTGAAATTGAAAACTAAAGACTACATTGATAGTTGAGAAATAATTGAGGGACCAAAATTGTGATTTTCCAAACTTAAATATTTTTAAATCTTTTGGGCCGAGCTGATACGGGTAAGGTCAAGATTTTTATTGTTTGGTCTAGACTGATTAGACTCATATTTTAACTAAACTAGTCCAATTTAGTTCAAATAATAATCAAATAGATATGGCTATTTGACACCACTCAAAGGGAGAGAGAAAAAGAATTGAGTTTGGATATGAATATAATCTTAGACAACATTTCTCTGTGGCTCTCATTGAGAAGATTTTACAGGATCGAACCCTGATGGTGTGGTTATAGG